ATCGCATCATACGACCCCTTTAAGTTTAATAAAACATTAACCAATGCATCCTAACTTTTACTAAACAAATAAGATAGGATGCTAGAGCTAGCCTTTAATATTGGCACATCAAATATAAAAATAGTTAATTCACAAAAGAATTCACAAAGTAATGTGCATGTGCGTTGCCCCGCCCCATCGTCTAGATGCTCAAATAAGCTCTTTTGATTGGGCAACATTCTGTGATCTCTGAACAGTGTCCGCCCCTGCTTTTACAGGTGCACAAAACACTTGCTCCACATTTCACATAGATAACTTGAAGAACTTGTGATTGTGCTAGAAATAATATCCAAGAAAAGCAAAGTATTTGTGAGAAAGTATTCTACAAGTGTGCAACACACATTGCATGAATTCACATATTACTTTGCGGATGTGCAAAATGTGTCCATGACTGCACATATTTGGATTTGGGTGTATGAATGTGTTTTGCACCATGTTCACTGCAACAACTGTAGCAAAAAATGTGAATGACTGATTTTCGATTTGTGATTCATAAAATAGGATTTGTTCATTTGCAGCAAAGAATTTAAGATGGTGCAAATGTTGTGTTGTGTTGTGTTTGTGTGGGGGAGAGAAAACTAATCTAAAAGTTTACAACTCCTAAAATATTTTTCTCTGTGACTTCAAATTTACTGATACACATGTGTGGGCTATTCTCTACAACTACAAATTGTGCTCAGTTGTTTTTCACCAAAAATAGCTTCATAAAAAACTCAGTAACGGACAGGTAAATCCACAACAGATTCTAGATACACTGCGTTTGGCAAAGTCATCCTTAACGGAACATCTTATGAACTGGAGCAGCGCAACTGAGGTGCTGAAGGAAAGTCTTCATGGGGAAGAGATCAAGAATGCCATTTCAGGGATCACAGTATGATATGTATAGGGAGGAGGTGGGCACTCTGTCTGCATTATTAATTTCAAGTGATCAAATCAGATTTGTGTGTCCAGACATATGACCAACTTATCTGCTTGGGTTGCTTTGGTAACGACACAGGCTACCCATGCATGTGACGAGGCTTTCAAAACTGATGCAGCAAAAGTGGAGGTTCATCATCTCACTCTCAGAATAAGTGCCTGTCAAGTTGCAGTACAAAACTCCTCTCTTGCACAAAAAAAACTCAGCAACAGATGAGACTGATATAATGTTCCATGCTGAAGTCACAGCCAGCTTCACTGAAAAGTGGTGTCTTCCAGCATTTCCATAATCGGTTTTCATATCATCATTGTGAATTGACAATTTGTTGTGAATTTGAAATCCGATTTGAGCATCCAGATTGAGATGCATCTGTAAAAATTTTATTGAAATTGTCATGCTAACAAGGACACTAAAGACCACAACCTGCACAGCTTTTGCAATTCCTAAATATGGTGTTTTTTAGAATGCATGTATAGATTAACCATGGTATAAGTATATAAACCTTGTTGACCTTGTGGGTTTTTTTTGGCTTGAGTGAAGGCGTTTGAACATGTTGCTCGCTGGAACCCTGAGCTGTCAGAGCGATTGCAGGTTCTCCAAACAGAAACGGCCCGTCATAAGGAGGAACTGGAGAAGTCTAATGCTGAAGTCCAGAGATTGCTGGCTCTTTTGCGGGAGCTGCAGTCTGAACGTCTGGAGCAGGACAAGATAATCATTGAGCTGGAGAGGTATATGCCAATTATTAAGAAATCTTTCATAAGGTAATTTCACTCTAGCATATACAGGTGCATCTCAATAAATTAGAATGTCGTGGAAAAGTTAATTTATTTCAGTAATTCAACTCAAATGTATTAAATAAATTCAATGCACACAGACTGTAGTTTAAGTCTTTGGTTCTTTTAATTGTGATGATTTTGGCTCACATTTAACAAAAACCCACCAATTCACCATCTCAACAAATTAGAATACTTCATAAGACCAATAAAAAACATTTTAGTGAATTGTTGGCCTTCTGGAAAGTATGTTAATTTACTGTACATGTACTCAATACTTGGTAGGGGCTCCTTTTGCTTTAATTACTGCTTCAATTCAGCGTGGCATGGAGGTGATCAATTTGTGGCACTGCTGAGGTGGTATGGAAGCCCAGGTTTCTTTGACAGTGGTCTTCAGCTCATCTGCATTTTTTGGTCTCTTGTTTCTCATTTTCCTCTTGACAATACCCCATAGATTCTCTATGGGGTTCAGGTCTGGTGAGTTTGTTGGCCAGTCAAGCACACCAACACCATGGTCATTTAACCAACTTTTGGTGCTTTTGGCAGTGTGGGCAGGTGCCAAATCCTGCTGGAAAATGAAATCAGCATCTTCAAAAAGCTGGTCAGCAGAAGGAAGCATGAAGTGCTCCAAAATTTATTGGTAAATGGGTGCAGTGATGTTGGTTTTCAAAAAACACAATGGACCAACACCAGCAGATGACATTGCACCCCAAATCATCACAGACTGTGGAAACTTAACACTGGACTTCAAGCAACTTGGGCTATGAGCTTCTCCACCCTTCCTCCAGACTCTAGGACCTTGGTTTCCAAATGAAATACAAAACTTGCTCTCATCTGAAAAGAGGACTTTGGACCACTGGGCAACAGTCCAGTTCTTCTTCTCCTTAGCCCAGGTAAGACGCCTCTGACATATTCTGTGGTTCAGGAGTGTCTTAACAAGAGGAATACGACAACTGCAGCCAGATTCCTTGACACGTTTGTGTGTGGTGGCTCTTGATGCCTTGACCCCAGCCTCAGTCCATTCCTTGTGAAGTTCACTCAAATTCTTGAATCGATTTTGCTTGACAATCATCATAAGGCTGCGGTTCTCTCGGTTGGCTGTGCATCTTTTTCTTCCACACTTTTTCCTTCCACTCAACTTTCTGTTAACATACTTGGATACAGCACTCTGTGAACAGCCAGCTTCTTTGGCAATGGATGCTTGTGGCTTACCCTCCTTGTGAAGGGTGTCAATGATTGTCTTCTGGACAACTGTCAGATCAGCAGTCTTCCCCATGATCGTGTAGCCTAGTGAACCAAACTGAGAGACCATTTTGAAGGCTCAGGAAACCTTTGCAGGTGTTTTGAGTTGATTAGCTGATTGGCATGTCACCATATTCTAATTTCGGATATAACACCAACAAGAAACAGAATCACTGAGTTGGAAAAAGGATCCAATGACTTAAAAATTACTTATTTATTGCTTGAGGTAACAGTGATGAAGTGTAAAAATCTAAAAGATTTACAAAAGTAAAGTATTAAAATCTGCATTTTTATATTTTTATTATCATGTAATATATGATTGAGAAAATAACTAAATATATCAATGTAGAAAATTTAAACTGATGTCTGTGTTTTCTTATGTTGTTGTAACTCACCACCGTAGTGGGTTACATTGTAACATCAGCAGGGGAATAAATTATGTGAATAAATGATGTTTATGATACATGCCATAGCACTATATATATATTATATAGTATATATATATACAGTGGGTACAGAAAGTATTCAGACCCCCTTAAATGTTTCACTCTTTGTTATATTGCAGCCATTTGCTAAAATCATTTAAGTAATTTTTTTTTCCTCATTAATGTACACACAGCACCCCATATTGACAGAAAAACACAGAATTGTTGACATTTTTGCAGATTTATTTAAAAAGAAAAACTGAAATATCACATGGTCCTAAGTATTCAGACCCTTTGCTCAGTATTTAGTAGAAGCACCCTTTTGATCTAATACAGCCATGAGTCTTTTTGGGAAAGATGCAACAAGTTTGTCACACCTGGATTTGGGGATCCTCTGCCATGCCTCCTTGCAGATCCTCTCCAGTTCGGTCAGGTTGGATGGTAAACGTTGGTGGACAGCAATTTTTAGGTCTCTCCAGAGATGCTCAATTGGGTTTAAGTCAGGGCTCTGGCTGGGCCATTCAAGAACAGTCACAGAGTTGTTGTGAAGCCACTCCTTCATTATTTTAGCTGTGTGCTTAGGGTCATTGGCTTGTTGGAAGGTAAACCTTCGGCCCAGTCTGAGGTCCTGAGCACTCTGGAGAAGGTTTTCGTCCAGGATATCCCTGTACTTGGCCGCATTCATCTTTCCCTCAATTGCAACCAGTCGTCCTGTCCCTGCAGCTGAAAAACACCCCCACAGCATGATGCTGCCACCACCATGCTTCACTGTTGGGACTGTATTGGACAGGTGATGAGCAGTGCCTGGTTTTCTCCACACATACCGCTTAGAATTAAGGCCAAAAAGTTCTATCTGGGTCTCATCAGACCAGAGAATCTTATTCAGGTGTTTTTTAGCAAACTCCATGCAGGCTTTCATGTGTCTTGCACTGAGGAGAGGCTTCCGTCGGGCCACTCTGCCATAAAGCCCCGACTGGTGGAGGGCTGCAGTGATGGTTGACTTTCTACAACTTTCTCCCATCTCCCAACTGCATCTCTGGAGCTCAGCCACAGTGATCTTTGGGTTCTTCTTTACCTCTCTCACCAAGGCTCTTCCCCCCCGATAGCTCAGTTTGGCCGGACGGCCAGCTCTAGGAAGGGTTCTGAACGTCCCAAACGTCTTCCATTTAAGGAATGGAGGCCACTGTGCTCTTGGGAACCTTAAGTGCAGCAGAAATTTGAGATTATCTTCTTAGAATATTCTTAGAAAATTAGATTATTTTAGATACATCACAGGTATGGACTGTACAGAGGCATCACAATGAAACACCCGCTGCAGGATAAAATGATAAAGGCCTGTGGCAAACTTGTGACAGCAGCCTTTATGTTCATGTTGCTGAGCCAACACAGCCAGCATGTCCGTCAGCTACAGCTGTATGCCATTCCTGTGGGAAAACAGAACATTTAGCAAACATCTGACATTCATCTTCACAGAAACCGGTGCATCAAACCAAATTCTTTGTTGCATGCAAATTAAAACACATGATGGACATTTTAAAGCAGTTGTAAGTTACAAGTCATCTAGTGTTTATTATCAACTGCATTGCATTAGCTTTATGAATTGGCAGGTTTAATCTGGCCTAGAGGAAATATGAAACCTTGTCTCGTCAGCGTAACAATGAAAACCAGCTCCATGTTTCTTAATGATATCTCCAAAACTGTTGCATGTACAAGGTGAACAGCAGCAATCCTAGTACTGAGCCTTGTGGCACTCCATGCTGATCTTGTGATTGATATGACACCTCTTCGTTTATTACTTCAAAGTGATAACTACAATTATAAATACAGTCAGATAAATACAGTGTTGTGGTCAATAGTATCAAAAGCAGTACTGAGTGCATAGTAGCATTCCACACCTAAACACTTCCTCCAGGTGAAAGAAAGTACTTCTCATTTCTTATTTGTGCATCCTCATTTCCTTTAGTCGCTTCCTTTCCCTGTGTCTCAGCTCCCCTTCCCTGGTATATGAGAAAAGGATGCAAGGAAACAAAATGAGGACAGAGGAATCGAAGGAAAGATCATTTGTACATTGGAATATTCTTGATCACTCAAGCGTCATCAGCTGCACTCAGAGGATCTGAGGGGATGTTGTTGAAGGTTGGTTATTTAAGACATTCATTACATGAGATGTATGGTTTATTGAAACTGCAAAGGTAAAACAAATTCTGATTATTTTGATAGATGTGAAAGGGGGAGGAGAATTTATATGTGCATCAGGTTGGGAACCAGATGAGTCCTCTGCACAATCTGACTTTGTTGCAACCTAGAATTAAACTGCTGTTCTCATCTGGCCAGAGGAGAATGCCAGACTATTTCCCTTTTTTAATACTGTAAAGCTGCTTTGACACAATCTGCATTGTAAAAAGAGCTATATAAATAATGGCGACGACTTTTTTGACAAGAAAGACTTCTGCATAGGATACACCTGTGCCTCTTTGCTCACAGCTCCTCTGGAAGCTTCCTCACTCCTCGCCTCCTCATGGTGCAATGAAAGGTTTGAGATGTCCTTCAAGATGGCTAACTTTGATCGGTTTCTGGGTCACAGGCTGGAGGATGGAGGAGCGAGGAAACAAGGAGGCATCAATTTGATTCCCTTTGCCTGAGATAGGTGATGTAACAGACGAACCAGAAATTGTCGCCACTGTTTCTCACTTGTCTATCTCTGAGCTCATCGCTGCATCAGAGACCTGCCTTCTGTTAGCCCAACTTCACACACAGACAGAGAAACATTGGTAAAGACAAAAAGGTGGTGCAAAGAACTAGAACCTAACTTTCACATCAGACGTGAAATATTCATTGTGGGACTATAAAATTGTGCAGGGTGACCACTGTTTAGTGGAAATATAAATGCGTGTGAAATGTTTTGAATTGAAATATTCACAGCTTAAATAAACAACTATGTTAAATTTCAGACCCTAAAAATGCAAACCCTGAAAATACAAGGCATTAGCAAAGCACTGTTAATGCAAGTGCAAGCACTGTTGATGCAATGCATTTTTTTTTCAATTAGTGCAATTCAACATTTTGTTTCAAAGACATTTGTCATTATTTTTCTTCCATACTGAACCCCCAAATGTATTTGTAGTTGCAGTGACAGACAAGAATGCTCAGACCCACACAATATCAGTTTTAATTCCTTGCTTGTGCACTCTGCCAAAGAGCACTTGTGATGTATAATGTGATGCAGAACACTTTTCTATGCAATCATTTAAATATTCTATGTTACAGACAAGTGAAAGAACAGAACCAAAAGCAGTCTGTGAATCCAGGACAAGCTGGAGAAATGAGTCCTAATACTTCAAGACAGGTAAGACATTTTCCATGTTTGTGTATTTCTGTATTGCATTTTAAGATTTTTGTATCAAAGCATTGTTCACACTGTCCAGCCTTTCTTCAGAAAAAAACCCCAGATGTGTCGGTAACTAAGCTTTGTGTGTCTTTATTTAAGGTGCACTTCCAATCCCATCTCCTTACTGACTCCAGTAAACTTTTGGAGAAGTTTTAGCACAATAGTTCACTTACATTTTCCAGCCTACCCTGATCACTCAATGTCTTGAATATATTTTTTTAAAGTACAGCTGTTTGTGTGTTACTAGTTTAATCATAATGTGTTTGTAATTATGATTTAGGATAAAAAGACAATTTTTTTTATTTTGATAATACTTTTTTTCAATTTTCACCTGAGATTCAGAGCCAAATTACAGGGGGTTAAAAATGATTTCAGAGAGATGGCAGCATCATAATGTTACTTTTACACAGAGATTGGAAGATCTATACAATAGCTCCAAGAGATGCAAACGAGGGAAGTGCGCTCGTGAAATTCTGACAGCACGGTTTTAGGACTGCTCTGCCGAGCATTCAACTGGCGAATCTCCACTCCCTAGCAAATAAATCAGACAAACTACAACTCCTTACCCACACAAACAAGGACTTTTTTGCTTTACTGAAACCTGGTTGACTGGAGCCATCCCGGACAGCACGCTCCATCTAACGGGTGTCCAGCTGTTCAGAACAGATCGTGTCACAGAGTCGTCGGGGAAAACGAGAGGCGGTGGATTATGTTTTTATATCAATGAAGGCTGGTGTACAGACGTGACAGTTTTAAAGAAGATGTGCTGCCCAAATTTGAAAGCTCTCATTATTAACTGTAAGCCTTTTTATTTTCTGCGGGAGTTTTCCTCGTTTATTCTGGCGAGTGTGTACATTCCTCCTGACGTGCGTGTGAGCGCAGCGTTAGAACAGCTGGCTGATCAGATCACACACACAGAGCAGCATTACCCGGACTCTTTCATTGTCATTCTCAGTGATTTAAAAAAAGCTAATCTCACCCGCGAACTGCCTAAATACAGACAGCACATCACATGTCCCACCAGGGACAGCAATATACTGCACCATTGCTACATAGTTTTAAAGGATGCATACCACTCTGTCCCTCGAGCGGCCCTGGGACTCTCTGACCACTGTTTGGTCCATCTTCTACCAGCCTACAAGCAGAAGCTTAAATCTGCTAAGCCTGTTGTAAAAAGTGTAAAGAGATGGACTAATGAAGCAGAGTGGGATTTACAAGCCTGCTTCGACTGCACTGATTGGAGTGTTTTTGAGGCTGCAGCCACTGATCTGGATGAGCTCACTGACACCGGGAGCAGGTTTCTGGGAGCAGGAGCGGACTTACCCATTAGGCAAAGGTAGGTGACCTTGGGCCCCCAAAAGCCAAGGGCCCTCTAAAATGCTTTTCATATAGGAGATGCGCATTAAAGGGTTACTCCACCCCAAAATACAAATTTTGTCATTAATCACTTTACCCCCATATCGTTCCAAACCCGTAAAAGCTTCGTTCGTCTTCGGAACACAATTTAAGATATTTTGGATGAAAACTGGGAGGGTTGTGACTGTCCCATTGACTGCCATGTAAATAACACTGTCAAGGCCCAGAAAAGTATGAAAGACATCGTCAAAATAGTCCATCTGCCATCAGAAGTTCAATCTGAATTTTATGAAGCGATGAGAATATTTTTTGTACGCAGAGAAAAAAACATAATAACGAAATTTATTCAAAATATAAGAAAAAAATTATGACTTTATTCAACAAATCGTCTCCTCCGCATCACTGTAGCACCATTTTGGAGAGTATCCACTGAACACAAACTGCATATGCTGTTCTACTTGTATGTGTCAGCCGCACCACACGGATACGCTGTTTTCATTCAAATCAAAGTGTAAATAAATGTAGAAAACGTATCCGTGTGGTGTGGCTAACACATACAAGTAGAACACATATGCAGTTACTTTTTTGGTTGATATAATCCTTAGGTGTGTAAATGTATAATTGCCTTTTCATTATTTGTTCAGTTTTATTTACATTTGTAGTTAAAATAACTAAAAATAAATTTATTTTAAAGTTTAAAATTAGACAGCCTTTGCACACAGGCTTATGCTGATAACTCATCAGTGGACTTTCTTTGTCAATGTAGGCTATATTTTTTCACACTTTTCTCATTCTATATTTCTGATGTTCCAAAAGCGCCTCCTACTGGCAGAGAATGAATGTTCATTTTCAATAATCCAGTCTGTAGTTTTTTTTTTTAAATGAAGAACCAAAAGAAAAGTTTCTTAGGAACCAGAATTTAAAATCATATTAAGATAACTTTAATACTTCCTAAGTTACAGGTACGCTAATTTCGGAAAAATAATATTTATGACACTCAAACAGGTATGTCCTATACAATTGTTTTGATAGAGGGAAACGATGCATTTCTAGTTTCAACATTACTTATTTTTCGATCCATATACAGTGCAGGGAGAGGCGGAAAACCCAAAAGGGCTTATTTAAAACCTCCACCTAAACAATAAAAAAAACAAAAACAACTTATGAAATAAAAAAATAACTAAATTACAATAACAAATATGTAAATGTAAATGACTGCATCAAATTGATTTATTCAAAGTGACACACATTTGGTTTTTGACCACTGAACATGTGTACAATTTAACAATTTACTCCTGGAGCCATATTGAAATTCCAATATCTCTGGAACCGAACTATATATAAAGTCAACATATATATATATATATATTATATATATATATATATATAAACATTTAAAAATACTGTAACATTATGATGCTGCCATCTTTCTAAAATCATTTTTACACCCCTATAATTTGGCTCCGAATCTCAGGTGAAAATTGCCATTTTGTACCCCCTCTACAAAATAGTGGATTACACAGTAAATATTCATCCATGACATTTAATATTTTGGCTTTCATCACTATACATGTTTAGCTTTCTTCAGAAAAAATATTAGCAAAATAAAAAATTTGACCCAGGGAAGTTTCTGAATTCTTTTTTATTTGTCACGGAATGGCCCAGATAGAAAGGATATACATGGATATTGCATGATAAACATGTTTATATAATTTTACTCTCATAGTTGGAAGATTTGATGGCAGTGCTAGACAAAACCAGAAAAGAGTTAGACGCCTCAAGACAACACTTGTCGTCTACGCAGAATACTCTGTCTGAACGTGACAATGAGCTGAGCAGGATACGAGCTGATCACAGTAAACAACTAACAGAGATCCTGCAGTTAAAGTGAGTATAAACAAACTTTCAATAGCCTGTTTTTGATAGCATTTCATTTTTTCTTTAATCTTTCTTTTAAATGCTAGAGATAGATTAGATAGACAGCTGCTTTCAAAAACTGCTGTGGGTATTTTTGTGAACACCCTGTGGCCAAACAAAAGTGTTTAAAAGTGGATTCATACCAAGTAGATATTGCTGTAACTATGAGATTTCATCTTGTAAAATGTGCTCACGTCCTTGCACAATTCATAATTACAACTTGTAAACTCAGAAATTGAGTGTCTTTGAAAACTGCTTTTCTCTTGAAATCATATTAAGAAATCATATCTCTTCCACTGGGCAAGTCATCGAGTAACATGTGTTGTCTGTTAGTGAGTTATGCTTATGCTAGTTGCCGATTGATTCTGGCATTACTGTGGTCCTGTAAATTCCAGATGACTGGAAGCATTCAATCGAAATCTTAGTCAGCTTGTGATGAAGTGAAGTGACACAACAGTGAAGTGCTCTTTTCTCAGTTTCTATAGGTAACCCCTACACAATTTGAATAAAAGGTTAATTTTTAGTGTTGCTAACAACACATTGCAAAGTGACAACCATATTTTAATGTGGGATTTTAATCCAAAATTTTGATGACCGAAACAGTGATAATCATAGCAACATATAAGATGAAAAAGTCTGATATTACAAAATAAGATGTGCAAAGTTTTAGAGTGTAAATGCAGACTAATTGACTTGCCACTTTTCACATTTTGTGTGAGGTAGATTAAATTACATGGGCAGACAAAAATCAGAGGCTGGAGGAGTATGTACTTCTATAGAAATATCAAGGAAAAACATGCTTTTTCAATAGTTCTGTATAGTTGAGTGTCTATATCTGGACATGTGAAAAAATCAAACGACAACACTGTAATGTTGTTAAATATGCTAGAATATGCTAGAAATATGTTAGATATGTTAGAGATGTGTAAAATCAATATTCTTTCATCTACATACAAGAGTAATTCATATACACAGAATGGAATCCAAACCTCAAAGTGTATCTTTGCACATCAAAGGTTTGCGTGCAGGTGTTTCTCGTCTCTTGTAACACTTTCTACGTCATATTGTGTGTGTCTGTACTGAGTGTATAGGTACTGGGACTTGTGTTTCTGAATGAGTGACATTTTGGGTTTGCCACGGTTGAGTTAGACGTGTGAAGAGACAATGGCCGTGTGCGTGTGTTATGTGTATATTAGATACAGGGAGTCACAGAGAGACGCGTTTTCTGCAGTCGTGGGCACAGCTGAGGTGTCAGAAAAGCACACATCAAACATATTTATAAACACCTGTGTACTTAAATGACAAACTGTAGCATCACAAATATTACAATCGTGCAGAAGCTTGTCAGAGTTTGGCATGCTTGCCACCATTTATGCTATCAAGCCATTTTACACAAAACATCAAAAACATCTAGATCAGATTAAAGCAACAGACATAATAAGCATTTCTACTTAATCACTATTCATTCACACAGTGCCATCTCTGACTATAGGCCTAGTTATCACCACAGGAACCATTTCACCGCTTGTATCAGTCCATTTGCAGCATTTCTCACAGCGAGTGTCATGGCGGAGGAGCAAACCCACTATAATTTATATATTCATAGTTTTTGGGGGGGGAAATTTAATTGTTTAAATTATATATGTATACATATATAACTCTGCGATATATATATATATATATATATATATATATATATATACAGGTGCATCTCGATAAATTAGAATGTCGTGGAAAAGTTCATTTATTTCAGTAATTCAACTTAAAT